TGTGAAAAACTTCCTCCTAATATCTAACCTAAACCTCCCCTGTCTTAGTTTAAAACCATTCCCCCTTGTCTTATCACTATCCACCCTCATAGTCATGTCCACTGAAGACACAAACCCACCTAAAGGTTCAGTCTTGCTTGCAAATCAAGCAAATTCAACTGTTGCTTGCTTTTGTGTGAGAACTGCTGTCCGTTGCCTTCAGCTGCAGACACTTCTTGCCCAGATCAGATCAGAATAGTGACAGATATTGCTCTCCAACAAAAGTTAGAGGTGTCAACAGCAGGAGCTTTCTTAATTTAACTCTTCTTTGGCCCCAAAAGTTCTAAGCACAATTTTCATTCTGCAGACCTGTATATTTTCTGGACATAATTCAAAGCAAATCCCAATTAAAAGTATTAATGGAGGCTTACAACATTCTAGTTACCTGCCTGTTCAGATTAAGTTTATTATTATTTTTTGACTACAGGAATAGATCATCCATAATCTTTTCTTTATAGTCTTGGAAAATGGCACTTGAGAAGGCTTTAAGCCAGTCTAGGTACCTTCATTCACTAATTCTGCAATGCTAGTTTAGCAGCAATCATTTGTCTCCCAAAACAACTTAGTCCCTCAGCTAGGATTGATGAATCAAAGAAGCACAGTGCATTTGCTGCAATGAATCATACTGCATAACAGATATAGCAAGGAAGAGCCTACTCAGTCTATCTCCAGATCCATATGTTTCAACTGAATTATTTCTTGTTTGACTCTCTGTACTTGAGTTGGTGCTCTGTTCAACCAGCTCTCCGAGGCTGCTTTACCCTAATTGCCTCCATTGCAACCTGCAGGGCAGAGCTGCACAGATTAACAGTGATAGTCCATAAAAGATCCCAGACACTCTGAACCACAGATGTAATTTCAGATACTGCGTTGTCCTCTGAGGTTACAACCTTTTGGAGTGATTCAAAAAGGGCATGAAGGAAGAGGTGGTGTGAATAGATCTGGTTAAAATCAAGTGGATGCTTTCTGATTTTAGAGATATCAAAGGAAGTAAAAATTAGAGGCCGTACCTCACTGATGAGACAGACAGAGCCTCAGTCATCCGACCTATCAGCTACACACCCTGAAAGTAAGGTAGCACCCATGAAATAAGCACATGTTGATTTGCTTTATGCTGGCAGGGAGGACAGGAGATTCATTTCAGAAAGCAACGGGATAGAGTCTCTGCACCCCATGGCCAAGCAAAACTTTGCCAGTATACCTCAAGCCTCTCCTCAGCTACATTTTGTCTCTTGCTGGGAGCTTCAGAAGAGAAACCAAGGAGCAAAAGGCTCTGGAGATCTTCTCCTCTCATCCCCCAGCCTGAAGCCAGATGAAGGAAGGGCCCTATTCTGTAACTTTCCTGGGGATAACAGAGGAATTCACTCTCCTTGGCTGTCAATCTTGCACCCTTTAGCCAGCCCTAAACTCACTTTAATAAGGAAGGGACTAAAGTGATTTCTCATTTTACTGATAACCTGAACTCTGACTGAAAATAAAAACTCAAAATGGAAAATCCAGATGCGAAAGCTTCAAGCTCGATGTGTAAAGATTCAATCCAGCTAAATCGGTAAATTCCCTCACGGTAATTAAAGGCACTAATTGATTTGCGAAAACATCTTCTGGAGGGAAGCTGAACTGAAGGGATTTACGAGTCCTGCTCCTAATCCTCAGATACCCCAATCAATCCTGCTTGACAGGAGAGCAGAGAGCTGCAGTGGATGAATGAAGGAACACTGAGATTTCTTATTTTATATCCTTTCGAGGAAATACCAGTGCATTTAATAACCAATTTCTCTCTTCCTGAGACCATGTCTGCAGGATTCTGAGAACATTTGGGTCTCGTTTTCATGTCTTCCACAACCAAGACAAAAGCTCCTCTCAGGCACTTTCAGATGAACCTTCCAAATTCATCAAAGCAGCAGCAATTGGCTGAAGAGCAGAAGAGCACCTAACAAGGAGGAAGGTACACTCCAGTAGGGTACGGACCAGGGCTTTCTTTGTGTTTCATCTCAGGAGATGGCTCTGGAGCTTTCAAGCATGACAGCCAAATAGGGAGGGAAGATTTAGGCTGCATATGAGGGGGGAGTTCTTTACAGAGAGAGTGGTGAGGTGCTGGAACAGGCTGCCCAAAGAGGCTGTGGATGTCCCATCCCCGGAGGTGCTCAAGGATGGGGCCCTGGGCAGCCTGGTCTGGTATTAAATGTGGAGGTTGGTGGCCCTGCATGTGGCAGGGGGGTTGGATCTTGATGATCCTTGATACTTGGATCCTTCCAATCCAAGCCATTCTATGATTCTATGACTCTAAGAATACTTAATCATAAGCCAACAGACACATAAAGGTTGTAAACAAAGTGTTTCAAACCTGCATACTATTCTCTTTTCTAAGCACAGTCATGACCAATGGACTTGAAAAGGTGTAGACTTAGCCCAGTGGAACCCAAAATACAGCTATGACCAAAAAAGGTAAGAATCAAAGTCTTTAGGAATACAACAGACCCAATAGAATGTAATATCACTTGGATAGGTAGCATTTGGGTACAGGAGACACCAAGACAAGCTTCTGGTGAGCAACTGCAGCTGGATTTTGCTGCATTAAGCCAGGAAGCTGTGTTCTACTTATGAATGTTCATTCAGCCTTGGGCTACACTGAGCCAGTTTGGAGAATAAGTGTGCCTCCTGCCCATCCTTCACTAGGTTCTTTGGAAATGTCGTCCCAGAGGTACACATGGCCACAGGTACACTCTGAGCATCCAAGGTGCTGTAGAGACTACACAGAACATTGCTGGTATTTAATGTCTCCCCAAAAGGCAAGTCCAGCAGCTCTCATGGTTCTTGGGCTCTGTGAAGGAGTTAGATAAATATGTGTTTTCTAGCGAATACAATGCTTAGAAAGCACTTTTCAGTACTGGGGACCAACACAAACCAGTACCAGTGCTGCAATAGAAGATAAAAGGAACTGGTGTGATGTGCCCATGGGATGCTTACCTGAAGATGCTCCACTCAGGCTCAATCCTCAGGATGGTTGGATCCTCCACATATTCATACTGCAGCTCCTGATGTATCTTGGCCTTGTCCACTCTCACAGACACCTTCACCTTCTCAAAGCCTTCATCTGAGGCTGTGGTGTTACAGACGATGTGCTTGGTGGATCTCCTGTGAGAAGAAGCAAGTAAATATAAACAAGGATCTGCAAGAAGCAAACCAGTAAGAACCCAGTTACATACTCCTATGTCCTGTGATCTTAACCTACTAACTATGAAGTGGTGGAACGCACTGCTGCAGGAATATACTGAGTATTGTGTGACAAATTCATCACGGGAAATGGCACTGCCTTTCCACCAGTTTAAGTAAAACTACACAAGCCACTATTACTCAGATCTCAAAACACAAACCTCAAGGGAAGTCCAAAACAGACCTCGCTGCAGAAATATTTCTGTGCGATTAAATACATGATGGATGTTTCCTTCCTGCCTGCAGGCATATTCAGCAGCAGCTCGTAAAAGGGAGTGTTTGCACCTCAGCTTTCCAGTCTGGGATAATAAAGTTTACTTTGCATTAGGACTGTAAGCCTTGTTTAAGTGCCATTTGCAACATGCCTGGGACCTTTGCATGGGAAGTGCTAATGTAGTGGGAAGCATTTCATGACTTTTACTTAAAGTGGATTCTGGGTAAATGTTTTCCTTTTGGGTGAGGCTCAAACGCAACTCCAGGACTGAATATTGCAGTGGCATTGTCTTCAGTAAACTGCCAAAAATCCAAGTTTCTACCACCTTCAGCCTTCCCAGCCCTGTGATTTATGGCACGGCCTCATCTCGTATCCCTAGAAAGATAGAATGAGGTTCATCCTTCCCTTGTAGCATGGCATGCACCTCAAACGTACCCTTCAAGTGCTCTTTAAATTTCCCTGAAAACTATGCTGAATCCCTTCTAAAAGTCCCTAGTCTGTTCTGTAAGCAACCCCAAGCAGTGTGGTTCCCATTTGGCCTTTTAAATTACAAGCTGTGACTTCAGCCTCGTGCATTATAGATGTTAAATCACTCTGCAGTCAAGACAGGCAGCTAAACAGGATCCCAACAGCCAAGAGATGGAAACATCCTGCCCCAGGACAGTAGTCCCAGCTACCCTGTGAATGGGCCCTTCTTCTTCTGGCAAAGACAAGCTGGGAGAAATGTGCCAACTTTGTCTTCAGCTTCCACCAATACTGGCAGTAAAGTGCATTGCACTTAGCAGTTTTGAGCTGCAGGAGCCCCTGGGAACTGGATTTAGGCTCATTCTCACAGGGATCAGGGAACATTCAGCAGGTAACACTGACATTAAGCCTCTGAACTGCAATTGAACAGAAGCCAACCCTGAGCTAAAATGTTACAAGTCATCTGTTTCTCAGCACTATGGGACTATTCTTGGATAAAAGGGAGGTGTTTTAATGCTTATAACTGATGTTGTCAGATTTTCGTTTTTGCTCTTTCTAAAGTAGGGACATGAAAATGAATCTTTTAAATTACATACTCTCAAAACAAGTAGCAAAGCATGGGACCGTGGAGAATTGTAGTGAAATTTGACAAGGAGCCATGGAAAAAGCACATCAAATAGCAATCAAAACAATGAAATAAGTCCTATTCTCCCACCCCACAACATGCTCAGTAAGGTTGTGCTGGGGAAGAACGCAAAGGTCCCACTGCTGAATAGATGTTCTGCCAAGAATTACTAGAAGGACAGGTTGTGTGGGCTGCAGAAGAAGTCTCTTGACTGTGATTGCTTACATCTTTCAGGTATGTAAGGAAGGAAGGACTCATCTGTACCTGTAGAAGAGGCAAGGTTGTCGCCCAAAGGTCACGATGACGTTGCTGCCTGCATTGAGGTTATTACCCGTAATTGTCACCTGAGTGCCACCTGATACAGGTCCCCGCTTCGGCTTGAGATCAGAGAGTGTCAGAGTCTGTGAAAGCAAAGAGTCATGTTGAAAGCACCAGAGATGAGCAGAGGTACCTACAGTGCTAGGGAAATGTAGGCAACCCCAAAAGTTTAACTGCGTTACATGGACTTCAGAAGACACCAATATTTTCCTGGTAGAAGAGGAGCCTGGAATGTCTCCAGTTCCTTAATAGAATCATTAAAGTTGAAAAAGACCTCTGAGGTAATCTGTTTAAACCATCAACTCATCCCACCATGTCCACTAGCCATGTGCCTCAGTGCCAAATCCACACTTCTCTTGAACACCTCCAGGGATGGTGACTCCACCACTGCTTGAATGACAGCTTTGGTAAGGTGAACTCAAGACTTAAAGCTAATTTCAAAATCCCTGCAGAATAAGGCCTGCCCTTGTCCCCATTCAGAAATGCTCTGAGCTTCCAAAGTCATCTCTGTGCCTGGGGCAACTGCAGCCACGACCTCTCTTATCTCCACTATTTGATACAACTCAGGAGCTTTTTTCCAACATTTTTGCAAGATAAACTGGGTCTTGAATTGTCTTATTGGATCTTAACAAGGACTCTTTGCCCCCAGAGAAAACTCACAGAGCTCACAAGCATTGAAAACTATTGTGTCTTGAAAAGATTACTCTGAAGTTCATTGATCTACCAATGAAACAGGTCCTGCTGTGCAGCTCAGGGGGACACCTAAAACCTCCCCCTGTGCTCACAGCCCTTTTCCGTGGGAAGGAGGAGAGCTGTGATTCAGAGCATCTGAACATGTGTTTTGACTCTTGCAGGCCCACCATATGAACCCAAACATTGCTCTTTTATCAGATGTTGATGCTGAAACCATCTCACATGGCATGCATGTCCTGCACTGATACAATGCAGCATCACTCATGTTAAGGTGTTCTGTGAAATAATTCAGCCACAAGAAAGAATGCTGTACAGATGAATATTTTTTTCTCAGTTTCCTGCTTCTTTGAGTCTCTTTTCCAACCACAACACAACGTTACACAACATTAGTATATTAAAAGAGGGGCACCATTCCTTAAGGAGCCTCGAATCTGAAACCTTTTTCTTGCCCTCCAACTCCATTCTTCCCAAAAGCAAGATAAAATACTTGCACTCTGAAAGCACAGATCACCCTATTGCCATAATGCAGAGAGGAGACATCCATTTTCAGGGAGAAACTTGGAGTTACAGTTTATTCTTTCATTTGCATTTTAATAGAAAAACTTTCCACTCAGTCCCAAGTGAAAAGCCACTATATGCATTTAAATGAAGATTTTTTTCCCCCTCTCTTTAAGAATGATGACACAAATGCTTGAAGCTCTCCTCAGCTCCTCTGAATGAGCAGATACAACACGGAGTCACCTTATTGAGCTTTGGAGACCATTAATCCCTGTTTGTAAAATGCCTGACACACACCACAGCTCCCTCTTTCACACACACGCAGCTCTCCCTGTGCTCTTCTGGTTAACCATTCTGAAAAACAGCAGCATCATTTCCTCTTTGCTTTTGTTCAAAATGAAGCTTGCTGCCTGGAGGAAGAGCTGAATGTGAAAATCAGACTTACAGCCCAGTAGAAAATGCATCAACAGAGATGGACACTTCTTGCGTTTACACCTGTCTGCTTCTGATATGGTGTTTTGGAAACTATTTTGCCTCAGGAAGTCCCTCATCTATCAATTGCTGAAGGTTGGGAAGATGTATAAGAAGAGAAGAAGAACAAATAAATGCTCTGTTACTTTTACATTACTGTGACTATTCTCTAACAGCTTTTATTGGGTTACAAGATGCAGAAAGGATCTTCAGTATAAAGGGCTTCTCCATTTTGAAGGTATTGCCTCATGCTGTGATGCCTCTTCAATTCATTATTGATGGTCATAGAACCAATGCCAAGTACTGCTGCCCATGAGATGGATGTTGGGAAACTACTTCCCACCTGTGAGAAAATGTGTTTAAAGTTGCCTATTTGGTGCAATACTGGATGCTTTACAAACCAGATAATGACAGTTGAGTTAAAGATCTGAACTCCTTGTCCCAGTCCTTGATGGGCATGCATTTCCACCCCTGTCCCCAGAGGATGATAAATGATTATGCCCCACTGAGGACTCTTGCATATTGAAATTATACCAGCGATGCTCCTTGGCAAAGTGTTGATGCATTTTGTGCCGATCTCACAAAAGGTTTTCTGCCTAATCTTTCCAAATTGCAATAATCCATTAATTATTCACCGTGGCCTTCATAAATACTGCACAGCACGTCTGCAGTAAAAATCAGCCTCCAGACTGTTTACCATTTCTGTTCTGGTGAAAGTTGATGGAAAATGCATGGGGGTCTATTGGATCTGTGATAGGCTGAGGTGGACAGTAACAGTGAAGGAAGGAGGAGGCCAGAAAATCATGGAATAATAGAATGGTTTGAGTTGGAAGGGACCCTCAAAGGTCAACAAGTCCAACTCCCAGTCATCTGTATCTAAGAGTCTTGATTACTTTCCCTTGCTGTGGAACCTTTTACTTTCTTCTAGCACCTCCTTGGCATAAACTGTCCACAGAGAAGTTGCCACGAGAGCTGTGTCTGAACTGACCTCATGGTGTACGTTGAGACCCTGGCTCCCACATCACTGATCCTGGGAATAAGGGCATAGAAACACATGACCCACACAGTTTGTGCACCCAGATATCCTTTCTATTGGTTCAATAGCAACAGCTGGAAAGGCAGTACACAGCCCTCTCTGAGCCTGTTCAAAATGCTCTCCTGAAACAGAGAGCCAGAAAAGATGCAGACAGAGCAACCCAAATCACACTGAGCCAAAATAAAGGCAAACTCCTTCTGTGTCTGAATTGAGAAGAATGAAGGTAATATTTCATGGATTGAAAGACAATGGCATTAATCACAGCAATAAAATGAATTAAAGAAAATTCATTTAGCTCATCGTAAATACCATTTCAGCATGCAACCAAATGCTTTGTTTCCCTATTGGCTTACTGAACTCTCTAACGCAATTTGCATTTTTGATCACAGACCAGTTTGAAAAACAAATTAACAGCATGTTGAACCTAAAAGTTCTGCTGAGAAGTGTTGAGAAAAACTGCTCGATCATCTCTAAATTAAGCTACCTCCTTTTCAAAACACTGAAATAAAATATTCTGTTGAGTACAAATAATCAGCCCTTCCATTTCTCACAGGAGAGAAAGAGGCGGAACCTACTGGCCAAATTTGACCTTGTTTTGCTTCAAACCTTTTGCAAAAGCAATTTTCCATAGGATTTGCTACGTGTCTGGTAGCAGCACTTAACTCCCAGGTGATGCCCATCGTTGGTTTTTAAACATCTTTCTTTCCTAAAAGCTGCCACCCACCACTGCAGGACGCCAAGGCATCTTGCGATGTGTGCAACGACATCTCTACCCACTTGGCAGAAATATCAGAGGAAGCCAAGCCACACCAATGAACACCTCTCACTATGAAAGCAATGGACACAGGAAAGGGCATATGATGGGCAGGCTGGGGAGCATCGTTGTTTTTTTCTGTCTAGCACAAAGGTATCAAGGTCTGCAGCAGAGAAAACCCTGCAGACTTCACGCTTGTGCACGGCTGGGATAGCTGGCAGCCAGAAAGCCAGTAAGTGGAGGGAAAAGCTGTCACAGATGGACACGGATGATCAACATCAGACAGTAATTTCAAGAGCAGCAAAGGTGACATGCTGAAGTGTAATGTCCTGGAAAGAGCCCTTCTGTCAGTGAGGTGGGGGCTACTTCTTGAGGTATTTCTATACCCCCCACATCACAGTAACACCTGAGTGACACTGGAAAATACAGAGATCACTGCAGTTCAAGGGGGAAATCTAAGATATTTGCATTCATTATCAGTTCTCTTTGCCATGAACAAATGCTCAGGCATGTGAATTATTTCAGAAAAGACTCATTCCCTTGCAGGGGTTGAGAGCTTTTGATGGGAACAAAGAGACCCTCTCATCTCAGACCTGCACAGATCTGAACAGATCAAGGCTAGACAATGCTTGCATGTCCCCAGCAAGGAGCCTTACAGAAATAAGGAGGTCTCTTGGACACGAAAATCGAGCAGAAAAGGGGAGAAAGGAGCAAAAATCCAAGTCGAATGTGCTGCATGCACTGGGCTCTGCTTCTCTCTTCCATGAGGTTTTCACAATGGCAAAGCTATAGTCTCAGGCTGAACTTCCTCCACTCTGGTGGTGCAAAAAAAGAGCCCTTCCAACTGCTTTGCATACTCATGTCCTCAACAGACAGTGTATCACACCCATCTGTGAGTCCAAGCAATATCTCCAAAAAGAGAATTGTGGCTGCTTTCTGAGTGCAGTCTATACACACAGCTGACACCAGACAACCTACTACTATTTTTTCTTTTCCTTCTTCTTCTTCTTCTTTTTCTTCTCTTTCTTCTTTTTTCTTCTCTCTTCTCTTCCTTTTTACTTTTCTACATAGCATTTTTAACTATTAATGAAGATGTTCTGTACTATTTTGGACCATGGCTGTATCAAACTGAAGCTGGACTAATAATTTGGACTATTAATAGATTGTTAAAACATTAATTAGGAGAGCTATTTTTGCTCATAAAAATGATTTTGAAAGGAAATGGAAGGAACAACTTAGTGTACTCAGGATGGCAGTGAAGAGCACAGAGATGGAGTTTGGTCAGAGAACAGATACTGAGAAGTGGACCAGGGTCTGAGGACCTTCAGGGCCCAGGAGATCTTCTTGCAGGATCTTACCATAAAGTAGTAGAGCTGTGAAGACCTGGCCATGAACTCTGGTTTGCACTCAGCCACACAAATCTCCACAAATCCAGCGTGCTGGCTGGGCTTGGCTTCCCCCATCTCACATACTATCCTGTGGAGAAAATAAGAAACAAAGGCAAAGGCTTAGGGATGGTTTTGCAAACTGGGTGAGATGAAATCAGAACAAATAGTCCATGTTCTTGGGAAACAGACTGTAGACTTATCACATCCTCTGTAGCTTTCCAGTCCAGGATCCAAATTGTCCACTAAGTTATTCTTTATTTTATAAACTGTGGCTTTATTTTTTTTTTTCTGATAGCACTAATGAAGCAGATGGTTGGCTTTGTAAATCACCATACCATCACTTAATTATGTAGACAAATACTGGACAGAGATCTGGCCCCAGGAGTTCCTCTGCCCAGTCTTGCATGGTGGACACCTTTGCATCTGTAGGGCTTAATGATCATTCCTGCATGGAGAAAGCTGCTTCTTGGAGCTGCAGCCTCACAGACTGGATTTGAACACTCTTGCGGTGGCTGTTATTTGAAAAATAGATAATTTTATGCCATATGCCATGATGATCACCCGAAGTGTACCAAATACATTAATAAACGCATTATTAGCACCTGAGCTGTTGGTGAGGAGAGGCATCTTCTTTGGACTTTAGGGAGGCTGAAGGGAATGGACTCCTCAAAGACCCCACAGGTAGCAATAACCAGTATTAGATGTTCTGTGGCCCACTGTCTGCCACACACCCAACTTACTGCTCTGCTGGGATGTACCCTTCCACCAGTGGTTTGCACTCCACTCCAGCCACTTTAACATGAGATGCAATGTCTCTGAACTCCAGCCCCAGGTTCTCCCCACGGATGGTCACTTTAGTCCCTCCTTCACGAGGGCCTGTCACTGGGTTGATCTGGAGAAACAAGTCAGGAAAAAAGAGAATAATCAAACTACCTTTGTAAATACAGCATCGTTCTATGAGGCAGTATGAGACCTCTTCGTCACCACTAGAGACACTCACAAATACTGATAACTGAAATAACCAAACTACTCCAGATACATCAGTGGGTCCATCTCCCTAGCAAATACATTGTATTTTACACATGGTCCAACCTCAGAGCATCCAGAACTCTGCCTCCAATATCATTTCTTTCTCTTCCAACTACTTGCAAAACACAGAGAGAGAGGTAGGAGATATCTTCCAGGTAGGAGCAAGAGCTTCCAATGCTGCAGCTGAGTTCTGCATTTTATAGACATAAACTACAAAAAAGCAGGAGTGGGCCATGGTGCAAATAAATAAGAGAAAGAACAAGAAATAAGACGCTTTAGCCAGTCACTTTATGATGTGAATTCCCAGCCCAAAGTGCAAGTTTTTGATCTGGAAGGTGATATCAGGTATGCCTCATGAACTCAGCTGAATACGTCCATCTGCATAAATAACATCCAAGACACAACAGAAACACAGTGTCAGATCAGGTGCAGAGTAAACTGACAGTGACAGAAGCAATAGCAGTAGTTGCTATGTGCCAATACATATCTCCAGAAGTGCTCCAGCCACCTTCATGGGAGAGCAGGGTCCAGTGAAAGGGCAACAATGGAGCATGGATGGCTTGTTTGTAGGGTGGTGGACTATTGGCTGGGAGGTCTCTGAGCCCTAATCTGAAATGAATGGATGTCCCAGTGGTCCTGGTGTTTGGTGACGTGACATTTGCACACAGCCTGGATCTTTATCAGACCTTAGGAGGGGTAGGATTGCTGCATCTCATTCAGCAGCAGCTCTGTTGGGCAGCAGAGCCAAAGTATCCTCTGAGCTTCAGAACTCTCTTCTCTCCCATTGTAGAACTTCACTCGGAGCTATCAATCACCATGCAGTATTTCTGGCCCATGCAGAGGGGATGTGTAAAGGGGAGAGCACTCTGCATTGCATCCATCACGCTTGTTCAGAAGTAGGTGAAAATTAGCTTTGAAGACACCTACTCAACATTGAAACTGTATGGAAATTAGGGGGCTGACTCTTAGTTATCTCAGTTTTGCCCTTCCAATTATTTACTGCGTCCAAATGTTTTGCCATATTACTGGATGGCTGAAAGGGCCTTCTAATGGTATTCCCTGCTGCCCATTCAGGATGTTGTGGCTGCCATCTGCCAGTCTTGGCAAGGCTTTCTGTGCAGTGAGGAAAGGGGAATTCCCTTTCTCAGGCCCGTACCCTTTGGCCAATGGCTCTGACAACTGGGAATCCTGGGCTGGCAGCTAGATCCTTGCAAAGCAATCTGACTGGCAGGCAAAGTCGGGGGGCTGGCAGGAGCAGGGCTGCTCTTGACTGCTTCCCAGACATGAGTCTGGCACCAGAGTTAGCCTAATTTTGACTGAGAGGCCAATTTTCAGGTCATAAAATCAGAGAATCATAGAACAGTTTGGGTTGGGAGGGGCCTTAAAGATCATTTAGTTTCAACTCTCCTGTTGAAAGCAGGGACTCCTTCCACTAGACCAGGTTGTCCTAAGTCTCACCCAACCTGCAGGGATGGGGCACCCAAAAGCTAGTCTGGACAGCCTGCTCCAGTGTCTTTCCAGGTACATCTTTAATAGTGAAAGGCTTTGGCACCCTTAAGGATACTTTGTTTGTGTCTGTTTAATATTAGACATCACAAACCACTTCCCTGATGACTGTCTTTGCTTTGACTACACTGGGAGCTTACAGGCATGAATAATTTAATAGCACAGACGACCACATACAAGTACTGGGGCCTGTAGGTTACTCTAGTGTAGACATAACTTCTGCAGCACAAGTTCCCTACAATGGCCCAGGTAGGGAAACTGTGACAAGAAACTTTAGTGCAAAGCAAAATTGAGCAAAGTCTTTTCAGCCAAATCAGAGACAGAGAGGGGTTCTGCTAAAGCAAGGTGCAGCAATTCCAAACAGCCAAAACTGGAATTGACACTCCTGTTGTTTCCATGCTGCACCCCAGTCTGATATTTGCAGTGATAGGCCCTGATTATTTCTGATATCCCAGTGCCACAGCAACTTCAGCCTGCACTGAACAGAAGATAGGCTCTAATCAGGTCAGGCAACCATCTCAGGTCCAAAAAACAGCCAAATTCCATCAGAGATATGGAAGGTTTTTTTCTTGCTCTACAAGTCAACAAGACGCTTAAGTCCTAAAATCAAAATTCAACATTCGTGAAACTGACAGATGAGATTTATTTGGGTTGGCTGAAGATTTCACCCTTGGATAATAGACAATGGGTAAAAAGTGAGAAAGTGGTTATCTTCCCGAAAAATAAAAAAATAAATTAAAAAAAAAAAAAGAGGAATGTAAGGAATGTATCTTAAAAAATTAGAATTAAAATGGAATTTATATTCTAAGAGAAATTAATCCTGATGTACTTAGCTGGGGGCTCAGCAATGAAAACTTAAACAATCTTCCAAAAATAGCACTTCTAAACTATTTTGATTCTGAATCACTAATAAATATCTATTCAAGGGAAGTTTTGTATTTTAAAGAATCATTTTGCCAACATTGGTTAATCCTCTCCTGATAAAATAAAACACTTTCTGTGAATGTCGCTGAAAGGCTCGCATTATCACCATACCAAACCAATCTAACATGTACGAAAAGTGAAAAGGGAAAATTAAATCACAATTTCCACTTTCTATTATATTTCCTTACATATTCAACTTTTTTTTTTTTTTTCCTGTAAGAAATGTCAGGTCCCTATGGAATATTTTGCTATCATTTTGTGGCATTAAACTTGCTGTTAAGTAGTTTTCACTTGTTCTAGCAAGGCAGGTGTCCAGGTAGGTAGGTCTGTGGTTAATTAGGGCTCACTTATCTTCAAAAGAACTTGTTAGTATGTAGATGTATCTCACAGCAGGTCAAAAGAGGGTTTTTTGCTGGTATAAGTACTGTCACTACACAGAATAGAAGAAGTTGTACTGGTAAAAAGGAACATCTTGCCAGAAAAGTCCCTCATTTTTAAATCTATGGGAGAATTTGAGACAAAAGTCACAGAAACTCAATGAAAACATCATGATCCTCCTTCTGGCTCTGACTAAAGCCTGAGAATTTAAAAAACTTACAGTAACTCAAATAGGGATCTTCCTAGACTGAAGCTAGCTCTGAAAATCCCCCTTATAACCATGCAATATTTAAATTTTTATAGAATCATAGAATTATTGAGCTGGGAGGGACCCTTAAGGCTCATCTGGTCCAACTTCCCTGCAATAAACAGAGACACCTACCACTCAATCAGGTGCTCAGAGCCCCATCCAGCCTGACCTTAGATGTCTCCAGGTATGGGGCATCCACCACATCTCTGGGCAAGCTATTCCAGAGCCTCACTCCACCCCTGTCTTAAAAAAACACATCCTTTTCCTTATATCTAACCTAAGTCTCCCTTTTTTTGAAGGCTAACTTCAAAGCCAACTCAGTTCCTTAAAGCAGTGGGACCTGGAATTCCCCCAGATGGGTACAGGAAATCTTTAAGCCCAACTCATTGCACTCCTTCAGATGCCTACAACAAGAAGGTGCTACTGCAATGTTTTCACAGCAAGAGAGAAGGAGCCTGTTTCTATCGTAGGTGCAAAAATCTGGAAAGAGACCTGTCAGTTTTTGCAGAAGGAAACACAATCAGGGATATGAAAGCTGCCAAGAAGCCTCAGCTTTCTCTTTAAGACCCAGAGCTACGACAGTGCATCACAATTTACGCCCTTGGCTAGTACCAACCATATCACAGAATGGTTTGGGTTTGGATGGGACTTTTCAGATCATCAAGTTCCAACCCCCTGCTACAGGCAGGGACACCTCCCACCAGACCAGGCTGCTCAAAACCCCCATCCATCCTGGCCCTGAATTGTCACTCCTACAGAAGGTTCTGTGGCTGAACGAATCTGTAAGCCTTTTAACTTCATTTAGTGGCAATATAAATGCCGGAGCCAGGAAATAAATACAGGCTGTGGGAAGCTGTGCTCCGGGTTGCCACGTGCGTGTGCCTGTGCAAGTGTGAGGACACATGTTATTTCTCCTCCCTCGCCTGCACAGATATTTCCCTGGCTCCTCGCCAGGATACGCACGCTTTTACCAACCTCTCCAGACGTACCATTAGCTGCAATATATATCCAGTCACTTGAGATTACTTCCATGCTAATGGCTCAGAAAAAGACTTTGCAAGAGCTACTTATGATCGCACCAGACAGTTGGAATATTTCATGAGCGAATATTGCAATAATCTGTTTGAGCTTTGGGAGCTGTTGGAGGAAATGCCAGCAGAAATGGAAGTATGTTCCTTCTGGAGCTGTAACGTGGAGAATGAGTGATTTTCACTTCATGAGGAGACTGTAGGTAACTCATGTGAGTCAAAGCACGGTAAAGAAATGTGGATGGACCTTCAGGACAGTGTGCTATTGCATGGGAAAGTCCTTGTGGTGTGGACTTCTGTTTTAGTTGGTCATCTATCATCTCCTCAATACCAAATTTTATTAATCTATCAAAAATTTCTGAATCGTTCTTAAGCTTTGAGACACTAAAAGATTCATAAAGGTTTCTGTCCCCTCAGCTCCCTGTAATTTTCAAGGCCTCAGAAGTGAACTTTCAGAAGTAACCGTTTATTCTGGCTGCCGTTGGGTTTGGTTTCACAGCTTCAAGTGCATGCAGATTGACCAGCTGCAGACAAATGCAAGCGTGGTGGAGATCTCCACCTTGGAAACATCATAATTGGTGTGGAACTTGGGCAATCCAACTCACTGAGTAATTCGGAGAGTGACAGACTACAGAAACAAAATCAGAGGAGCTCTTTTCAGTAGATAAAACCAGACTCTACTCAGAGTTTGCTCTCACAAAACCACAGACATAGACAAAACCATTTCACCCATAGACACAGGTTTGGGGTTCATCCATACTTTTTGCAGTACCCATACTTTATGATTCTTTGATTCCTTGGTTTCTAGAAGAGCAGTCTACCCTACGTTCTATATTCAACAACAACCAAGGAGGCTTAGATATTCCTCAGTGTCTTTCCCCTCTTCTTCCCCGTCTCATTTTCTTCCTTACCACTCTCAGTTGCAAAATAAAGTGCTATTCATTCTGCAAGTTTACTCATCTTAATTAACGTACAGTGACTAAGAAATGCTTAAGTCAGAGTGCAGTTGGTAAGGGTGCAGTTTCCCATTATTATGGCTCATATCTGTCACTCTATCTGCCTATGACCTTGAAAATGATGCCCATCATTATGGCAAAAGTGTCCTAAGAGCAGATAAAATCACTGTAGACTGGAGTCCTGATTCCCTCTCCTTACTGTCTCTTCCTTCCTCTGTTTCCCCTATTTATTTTCTTTCTATACTTTTACCTCTTCCCCAGCTCTTCCTTTGGCCTGATCAGCATAATCAATAGGAAACATTCCAAACGACTGTGCAACCTTGCGACGTCCACCCATCACTGCCTTCATTCTCTTTTTATCACTTAATTAGACTGTTTCACTTAGTCTTGGCTTGAGCCTGCCTCTTCCTTGAGCCTTCAAAAGGGGAAGGCTGATCTTTGTACAGGGCTTTGACTGATCAGTTGGGATATCTTTCACCTTGCAAAGACAACGAGGCAAACCCAAGAACTTTATTCTGCTGTAGTTAGTGGAGTCTTTTTTTCCCCAGGCAGGGACTTTGCCTGTGTTCTACTATCAGAAAGCATGAACTACAACCTGCCCTCTTTCTTTGACCTCCTGTCAGTAAATCTCAAAACACTCGGATCACTCAAGATCTCCTCTCATCCAGTTTGGCCAGAGAGCTCTTTTCAAGAGAGCTGTGCTCCTTTGATAACCCTCACATAGTCTACTTGAGATGCCCCCAAGTGTCTTTTCTCACCTCCAGCTGCACCTCTAGAAGACTCAGGTTTCTTGAATGCTGCATGTCAGATTTGCCGACCCCATGTGGGCCTCTCAGATGCCCTAAGGTCTGCCACTAGGAGACTGTGATGTACAAATCATTCATGTTCGTATTGACTATGGTAGGAAAACACACCTGAAGCTGTGTGCTTCTCTTTGAAGCACACCATAGCCCTTCATCCCCATATTCACTTGGGACTTCACCTGATCCAGCAGAGATCAATCTTGACCTTCCCCTCACCAACCCAAAGACAAATCAAGAAAATAAACCATGGGAAGGGTACAAGAGGGAATCCACTGGCTCATGAAGATCCATGACTTACATCTGTGATCTTGGGGTTGGTACATTTGCCTTTGGTGCTGGACAACTCCAGCCATTGGCTGTCCTGGGCCGGGCAGTGCTGCTTCAGCGTGCACTGGTTCTGCCCCTCACACCAGCCACACTCGAAGTCCGGGTCGGCTTTCAGGCACAGGCCACAGCTGTCCCGCATGGCCCCACACTTGTACAGATGAACTGCAGGAAAAGGAAAACAGAGAGGACTTCAGTGATGCAGACAGAATGGGTGAGCAGTGGGATGTCAAGGGCAGCAATGAGGTGAGAGCTGGGATGCTCGTCCCAGAGGCAGGATGGGGCTTATGCAGGGGAATTAATAATACAGGATAAAATGCTTACACCCTCAGTAGAACAAATTACACTTGTCAGAGTTGACCTCCCATGCAAAATATTTCACTGAATCACACAATTGTAGAGGTTGGAAGGGACCTCTAGAGATTATATAGTCTAACCCCTCTGCTAAGGGGGTTTGCTACCCCTTAGAGTAGGTTGTACAGGAAAGTGTCCAGACAGGTCTTGAATATCTCCCTACTTGTAGAAGCTGAGAGCAAAAGGAGGGATGCAGCCACCAGTGTAGAATGATGGGCTGCAAGAGAGACATTGGGAAGAAAGATACTTGGCCAGTGACATGGCCTCAGCCCTTCCCCTTTCCTGAGAATGTCTGAATGACATTCAGTGATATTTCAAAAAGTCCCAGGCTCAGCTCTCCATCTATAAGTGGCTTGCTACACCTGTTCTACCCACCATCTAAACTCCACATGGGGAATTTTCCTGGAATACCCTACCAAGAACAGAGTGAAAAACTACTCAAGTTTTCACCTAAACAGAAAACCTAAGAGAGAATAATAAATTTACAGAGCAGCTCTGTATGTGAGGCTAAATCCAGACTTTTACCATCATCCTTTCCCTCTTCTTCTGCTCCAAAAATTCAGACTATTTTATACTTTGAAGTACTAAGTTGATCCCCTTCTAATACCAATAGCAAAGATTAGTGCTTAGCTCTGTTTTGGGCTGCTAATAAGTGATTAGAGGCAGTCAAAGCTTTTTTCCAAATAAAGCCTAAAATTCTTGCAGTACTATGAAATAAGATCATGCTATTTATCCTTATTTTACAGTTGAGTAAACTGAGGCCTGAGTTGCACAGGGTGCTAATAGCAAAAATCTGCTCCCTGAGGCTGAAGATGGCAGAACTGAGGCTTTCAGATTAGTTTATTTCTGTACTTATGTGGATGTTGGTGGTTTTCTTTGTAAGATATGGGATTTTCCCTTTGTACTTCTGTGTTGCCCTGCCGGTAAGCGACTAAAGTCTTTTCTTGTCTGTGGTTATTATCATGCACAATCCAAAAGCTCAGAGGCTTTGAATCTTCTTGCTGAAAAGCTTTAGCTCTCACTCCATACCAATGCCCTGCTCTCCCAGAACTCAGCAAGTATTGACCAATGCAGGGGAAACTTTGGAAACTTTTTATTTCTCCAGGTTGGTTGCAAGAAAAAAAAATTCTGAAATACTGTCAATCTCAGCACGCTGCAAACCTCTTAGGGCACAGACCTTTCCTTATTTGTCGAACTGCTCCGCTCACAATGTTTGGTTTAACGTAGGCTTTCAGTCTACCAGCCCAGCCTATGAGTTGTTGGCTGTAACAGTGGTGGCATCTTGGTTGGTCTTGGAAGCAATGTACCTTTAGTGCAACTTCACTTAGAAAGACAATGAAGCTAATCATTGAATCATTGGAAAAGACCTCTCAGATCATCTAATCTAACTGTCCACCTATCATTAATATTGCCCACTAAACCTTGTCCTGCCTCTGTCTCCCTCTCAATTTTCCAAAGAAGAAAATCTACTCAAAAACTCTGCTAGGGGATTCTGCTTGTTCTTAAATACTACATCTGTGTTAGTAAATAAAGTTCTGTGTGTCCATGAAAGCATGTGATATGCTTCCATGTGATACAGCCAAGTGTATCTGGCTATTATCTTCCTGCTACAAAATTGGTATAATCCAAGCCATTCTTTGATGGAAAGGAGTCACACCATGGGATGAAGAGTTGCCTTCTGTATTGCTCTCCAGTTTCAACGAGGTGTTGGCAGAAACCTCATCCATCACTGCTCAGCTCAAGGTTGGGTGTGAAATGGTATGAAAAGAATTTGGGAGTACGTGACTGGGAGAGATGGAGTGGGAGAAGCAGTGGAAAGTGTCCAAGGAAAAGGAAGGTAAAGTGAGGGAGGGAGAAACTTCTGAGGGGTGGTGGTGTGAGGAGGAGAGGCTGCAGGTCTGAGCTGTGAATGCAAAGGCTGAGAGCAGAGGGAATCTGGGGGAAAATCTGCCATGTGGCTGAGGGTGATGGACAAGAAGTAAGAGAACATGAATGGACCTCCCGTCTCTGACAAAGACAATTGTCTCAGGGTTGGACAAGCAATAGCCCTCTGTGAGAGGCACACCAACTCTGTGCCATGCACGGCAATTAAACAGAGTCAGACTCTGGGCAGGAGGCAGATGTCAGACCTTTGCTGTTAACGTTTTGTTTTGTTCAGTCTCTTCCCACTGACAAAGCTGCAGCCTGTCTCCTCCCCCTCTCCCTTCCTCTGTTCATTACCACATCACCTATGAGCAAAGAGTGCCCACTTTCCTGGCGTGTTAAATTGAAGAGCATCACTCCAGGAGAAATAAACAGGGGGAGAAGGCAGGAGGAGTAAGGAAGGAAGACACAAAAAAATATATACATATATATGGGGAGAAGCGGGAGGCAAAGGTGATGAAAAAAGAGGGAAAGCCGTGCAAGTGGGAGGAAGAGTAGTATTTCTCAGAGGGAAAAAAAAATTCACAAAGCACAAAAAAATTGGTAATTTGCAGAGTGCAGGGAACAAGTCGGCAGCAGACAGCACAGGGAGATGGTGGCAGCTTTGTTAAGTGGAGGGAGGGATGTGGCCCGTTGCTAAGGTTACCGCTTCCAAGGACAAGTTGAAATAATTCTTTACCTTTGTTCTGTGCTGGGTTGTCAATGTTGAAATTCCCGTTCCATACGACGGTCAGCTCCACTGGCAGGCTGTTAATCTCCATTCCTTCGTACGAATACTAGAAGAAAAGGAAAAAAATGAACACAGAGTTACTTCACACCCAAAGGCTGGGTTCCAGGGGGGGGGCAAGAAGTGGTACCATGAGTTGTGAACAAGAGAAATTGAGCTGTCACCTGGATCCCTACCTGTCATTACCTCCAGGAAAGCCATGGGAAGCTCTCAGAGCTGTGGTTCTCAGTGAAAGAAGCTGTATCCATCTCAGTAACGTATGAATCCTAGCTGCTAGGTGAATATTCTGTGTTTTAAGTATATATGCACATGATGGGACTTGGAAAAGTACTTTCTAGCTGTGGAGCACAGTTCTGAAGGATATTCTGCCAATGCTTGGTAATGGGTTGCTAGAGTTAGAGTAGTATAATTAGGTTGAGGTTGGACTTGATGATCTTGAAAGTCCTCTCCCGCCTGAGCAATTCTATGATTTCATGATTCTGTGATATTTGTATGCATTGTATGTATTTGGATATAGCATCCAAATATACCTCTGCATTGTATGTATTTGGATATAGCATCCAAATATACCTCTGTGTACTCCATAGGTGCTGAATATATATCCATGCTTATCTACACCAGTGTCATTTTGAAGAGCTCTTGAAATTCAGCTGAGTGAAGTCTCGAGTATCTTAGAAATGCCTTAAAAAGGGGAAAATGGAGCTTCTGTGTAATTATAGACCTGTCAGCCTAACTTGGCTTCCCAGAAAGAAAGTACATGAAATTATTAAACAATCAATTTATAAGCACCTGCAAGATGATAAGGTGATAAAAATCAGCCAGCATAGATTTGTCAAGAACAAATTGTGTCAACTCAATTTAATTTCCTTTTTTGACAGGCTTAATGGCTTTGTGGATAAGAGGAGGCAGCAGATGTGATTTATCTAGAGTTTTGTAGCGTATTTGCTACTGTCCTGCAGGAGATTCCCATAAAAATAAATAAATATGTAAATGGGGAAACATAATCTAAAAGAAGCCACCATAAGGTACCTGTAAAAACCGTAAGTCAGAAAATCATTGTTGGGCTTGGAGGACTTTTCAGAAGAAGTTTAGTCCCGAGTCTGGCATTATTCCATGTTTTTACTATTGACTTCATTGATGGACTGCAGATCATGCTTACAGATTTCGTGAATGACTCCGCTCTGGGAGAGGGTGCAAGAACATCCAAAGGCAGCGTTAAGAATTCAAAACAAACTTCACAAATTGTAGATGCAGGCCAAAATCAACAAACTGAAATTCAGTAGAGGGAAGTAGTGAGCATTCTTCGGTATGTGAAATCAATGCAAACAAATGTGGAATGGGAGTGACTGGCCAGTGTTGCATTAAAGGGACTGTTGAAGGTCACAAGCAGATTGAGAATCAACAGTGCCATGTTGCTGCCAAAACAAACAAATCTTAACTGGGAATGCACTAGACAGAGTTTCCTATATACACAACCCCCAGGAGGCAATTATTTTTCCCTATCCAGAGCCAGAAAAGCTTCAGCTGGTTCAGGGGGTATCCAGTTTCCAGAAAATATGTATTAAGAAAGGCATAGAAACCTTCTGAGAGAGTGAGACAGACTTAAACAAATACTTGTTAGGCACAGTCGAGGTACATGGATCTGGTCTTAATGAAGAAAATGGAAGCTTGTCTCTGGAGGCCATTTCCAGCCCTCCACTTGGTGATTTCTCTGACATAGTATTTAGGGCATTTTTTTCCAGCCAGATTTTGGTTTATTCTGAGTTGATTCACACAGAGTTCACTTAGTTGCCCATCAGATCCCACTGCGCATCTCCATCCAACAGCTTCCTTCTAACACTTCACCAAAAGGCAAAAAGCATCCTAGATGGGAGAGGATGCATTGCCACAACAGCTGCTTAAAGGACAGAATGGGAAGAAGTCAAGAAGGAAAGAGATGTGTCGTGCTACACCGACTGCAGACCATATAAGGATTTATTCTCCTGAGATCAGGAATCTCCTACTGCACTGGGAGCAGGACAAGCTCCCACCCACACAGAAAGGGATGTGTTCACCTCTGTGTGACTAAACATAACATTTCTGCCCAGATAGGTAGTGGATGCCCCAAACTTGCGGACACTCAAGGTAAGGCTGGATGGGGCTCTGAGCAACCTGATCAAGCTGCAGATGTCCCTGTTCACTGCAGGGGAGTTGGATCAGATGACCTTTAAGTGTTCTTTCCAACTTGAACAATTCTATGATTCTATGAAATACACTTCAACGAGCTGCCTGGTTTTGCTGGATATGTTTTACAGATGAGAGTTCACCAGCACTAGAAGTCTCAGCACGGTTTTCCACGGAGATGTGAAAACTCTGAGCATTTAGAGGTAGGTTTTTCTGTTTCCACTAATTGTCATATAATTGCAGAGTAAATCATGTATGGTGATTTCTGTCCATTACAGCAGAGTGAGTGCTAGTTGCACAGTAATTTCTCTTTGGACAAACTAAACACGATTAGCCACTAATCTGTAGAACCCTGTGATTATGATCTTGTTGTAGGGTATTTACGGGTATAAGCTTTGTGGTTACCATGGAAGTAAAGAGCTGCTGCAGGTTAGCAGAGTCCTGCCTGATAGGGCTGTACCTGCCAGCCTCATTCACTATTAGCATTTTTATGACACTTCTCAGTGTCACTGCCAGGAAGATGCAAGATGAAGCAGAGCCACTTGGACTCACAACAGTGACTTTTCACAGTTTTATGGAGCTAGGAGCAAGGATAGGAAGGCTGGAGTGGGGAGGAAAGTGCTTGAAAAATAGAGAATAATTAATCTTCTGTCACTTGGGAGCTTTGCTAACACCTGTGCATGGCACTTTGCAAATGTCAACTGGAAATAGGAAGGAGCACATATACAGAATGACTGGTCACCCTTAAGTAACAAGCTGAATCTGTAGGTGCCTGAAAAAGCACTAATTTCTGTCTCAGCAGATCCTCGTGTGTGTGCACTGGGATTTATCTGTCAGCAGAGCATAGGCAGGGCTGCCAAGGGACAGGCAATGGGAGTCCCTCAGAGCCTTTCATTCCACTTAAGATCCCAAAGCCAACAGCAGGAGTCCAGCTGGGATTGTAGATCTTATCTGCCTATAGCACTGGGGACAAACACACATTAGTGTTGTTAGCTCAGCTGATTTGAGCCAGAACTGGAAATGGATGTGAGGGAATACACAAGATCCCCATGGAAGAGATCCAAGGATGAAGCCAGATGGGGCTTGGAAAGAGGATGCTCATGCTGCCATGCCCAGACAGCTCATGGGCTGCACAGAAGCAAAACAGAGCAATCTGCCAAGTACCAGGGAGTAGATGCTCTGTCCTGTTCAGACCACAGGAGCTACTAACTCATTGTGGTCTCTGTTCAAAGCCTGTTGAACTCAAGAGGAGTCTTTGAAAAGGATTTGCTCAGCTGTAACAATAAGATGGAAATACATTTCAGAGGAGAAAAAAGGGCTGATGTATTGATCTGCAGGAGTCGCAGCAGAAATTCCTGGATACTCTTGCTAGGAGCATTCAAATCATTAAGGCTGGTTCCTATGTATTGCCTTCCACAACTTCCTCCAGCACGGGCAAAACTGCTCAAAAGATATAAACCTGATCCTGAAGACTGCAAAATCTGGTTTCCCACTACACATATCAAATGAAAGTAGAAAATTACAGGCAATTGAGAGGACCAAACTGAGAAAGAGACACTGCCATTCCAGAAAGGAAGGCTGGATCTCATCAGGAAACACCAAAAAGCTGCTAGAAGGAGCTGCTGTAATTCACAGGAGCAGCACATTGTGTTTTGAACTCTGCAGCACCAGTTCTTTGTCTCTTGAAGTCTTTGCTGGTACCAGATATTCTTACAGCAGGGGCTGAGCCCATCACATCACTTGGCCGCTTTGCCACTCTGTTAGCAGCTTAACATTTTGTACATAAGCCACTATAAACACATCAACTGTTTGTCTCCTGGAAGTTCACCATGAAGTTTACTACCCTCAGGCTGAGAGCATAGCTGCAAAAATCGCAGCTATCAGATTTATAACAGCTATGCAAACATTAGCTGACTGCCTAGATAGATGTTTTGCTTTTCAGTAATCTGCAAATTCTTAGCTCCTCTGGGCACCCAGTTAAGAAGCACCCTGCATTAAAGGAGCTCAGTTTCACAGAACAGTGAAGCTGTGGCTTGTGTGACTGCACAGCCGCATAGAAGGACGTAACCTCTTGGTGCATCATCCTGAGATGTTGTATCATACAACAAAGATTTCTGGTAGTTTGTTTAGGGCACATTTAGGACAATACATTGGATGGAGCCCTGGGCAACACGATCTAATCCCTGACCTAAAAGCTGGCAACTCCACCCACAGCAGAGGTGTTGGAACTGGATGACCTTTGAGGTTCCTTCCAAAGCAAGCCATTTTATGATTCTACAGTTCTATGGTTCTACGATTCTATGATCCTATGGTTCTAGATTCTAATGAATAAACCAAGAGTGATTATATGATGTACCTCCAGATATATTGCTGCATATCCAGCAGTAGGGAAGCATCTGCAAGCAAGCAGCATTTTATTACTGAGTGCTGCTCTGCTTTCCCTAACAGCACAAAGACCAATTTTATGATTAGACCTTAGGCCTGGGGATTGAATTCTGTATCTGTCACTACTACCAGATCCTGGTATGACCCCATGCAAAGCATTTAATCCCTCTTTGCGTCAATTTTCCAGCCATAAAGAGGAGGCATAAAACCTCATGCCCACTGACATCCCATCTTTTTGGATCTTTGCTTACTAGAGCTGGGATCAAACCTCTATGTTTCTGTATCACCCACTACAATCGAGCCCACATCTTGACTGGTAAATTACACATTCTACTTGAGGTATGAATCAGCCCTGTGCTCATCTGCCTTCGGCCACTCATAAGTGTGTTTTCCCATGATTTTTATGAATACATGCTCTTCTTTTACTCTTTTTTCCCCAGCTCTGTCTTTGTTTTTATTTTCTCGCTCTCCTTTGTGAGCAGTGACAAAGAGTCAAGCACTTCTGAGATCTTTTACTCAAGTGCAACAACATGACATATTTGCTTTTCCTACTCCTGAGATATGCAGCACTTTGAGCTGCACCACCTCGGGTCTCACAGCACACAGACCTGTGAAGGGCTATGAGGCAAATCATCAGCAGGGATTCCACTGCTAGAAATCAGTCTGTGCTGCTTGTAAGCCAAGACCAGACAAGGGACAGGCTCACACAAAGCAAGCATGTATCCTTAGAACACTGAAGCTGATAATAGCAGTGATCAGGGCATGGTCAGGCAGGTCATCTCTCACCAATCTCCCTGTTTCTTACACTGAAATTAACTTACTCTATTGGACTGATTGTAAGTGCGGAGTCTACCAGTGCTTCCCATTGGGGAGACTGTTCTCTGACCTGATAGATCTAGCAGTTCCAGCCATTTCTGCTGACATTTTTACTTACTTATTTATATGCCTCCTTAACTCTCCTCCTTTTCATTTCCTCCCATCACTCTGTGTCCAGACGTCAGCAGAGCTATCATAAGTGCAATAAGGAATGGCAGGCAGGGTCTCACTGAGTGATAATTGTGTGCCTTGGGTGGTGTGATAGAGGACAAAGCCCAGAGCTGAGAGGCTCAAACCACTTGACAAGAACAATAATTGTCCCGAAGCATGCTGTCTGCAGTGACTTATTGCTGTTATCAAATGAAATATCTCTGGGAAAGACAGGGAAAGATACAGAGCTGGCTATTGACTGGACCAAGCACCTAGGCACCATCAGTGTTGAATATGATGTTACCGACAGACCATCAGATAGGCTGGTCCCATCTGGGTATCTTTAAAACACCTCTTAATTGAGCTTGGAGCGACTTGGAAAAGCTCCTGCTTAAGATGGAAGGATGTGGCTCTGATCTTTGCTACCCTGGTGTAGTTCCTGAGGGAGCGGGCAGTTAAGAGGAAAAATAAAGGTTTTATTTCCTGCTCCCAGGAGGAAATCTCTTGAATTTTGCAGAAGATATTCTGCAAGAGCTGAATTTGAGCTCATTGGTGCCTACCGTGTGATGGGAGAATTTGAGTCTTATGGAGGAAAACAAGCCAAGAATGATTGCTTAGTCTAGCACGCATCTCCAAAAGAAAGATCTGCTGGCAGGATAGCATCCCTTCAGGGACACAACATCACAACATATCCACCCACCCTCCTTTGGACCTTCTCCAAGCCTGCAATGCAGGTGCTACGTTCAGTTCTCATCTAGCAGCTCTGCTGACTAAAAAGCTCTGTTGAAGGGGGCTGATTCAATTTGCAAACAAGCTCATACATCTGCTTCTAAAGCCAGGTGACCCTCGGAGTGGAGCCTCACTGCAGCACAGTGGCTCCAGACTGAATGCTAATTTTGGCAGGAAAGGAAATAATCACGATGGAGACATACCCACAGTACTCCTTCCCTATTGTCTGTGTCCTCGGCCACCTGCTCAAACAGAGCTGGGGCTTTACTATTCCTTTTTTTTTTGTTTTGTGTGTGTGTGTGTGCCTGTGTGAATGTTTCTTTCTTTTGTCTGGTTCTTCCTTCCATATCTCTTTTTTTCTACTGTCTAGTAAATTCAGAGCAGCAATAAAATGTTTCTCAGGGAGTAAAAAGACACTTGAGTCAGAGAAATCAAATTACATTTACAAAGGGAGAGGAGAGGAGAGGAGAGGAGAGGAGAGGAGAGGAGAGGAGAGGAGAGGAGAGGAGAGGAGAGGAGAGGAGAGGAAACAAGGGAAAGAAGAAGTGGAAAGCAGAGGGGAAAACAGAAAGAGGAAAAGAAGGGAAACAAAAGAAGGGAGGAAGAGAGAAGAAGACAGATGATGTAGGAGAACAAAGAGATGAGTTTAGTCCAAAATAAGATTATCCCCATTGAGAAGACAGAAGCCCACTTGAGACATCACCTAACAAGGGACAGGAATGCTACAGGCAATACTCATCAGAGAGGTCACAGACTGCTGTGGCATAGGTGTGACACTCTGTCCTGCCACGCTGCACAGCTCAGGAGTAGAGTGCTCTGGCAGCAAAACAAATGCAAAAATCAACACAGTGTTGTCACAGCACTCTGGCATCCCATTAGCAAATATATCCAGGAATTCAGTGAATCCAAATTCTCTGGTCCAAGGTATTAGCAGCCTCTTGAAGCGTGCAGGTAGTATGAGAACGGTCACTATTATGTCTCAAAATCAAGTTAAATTATTGAATAACACAAACTAGGAGGCTGAAAGAGACTCTCTAGGACTGCTCAATTTCTCAACCCCTTCATTTCTGTGAAAATTCAAATCTGGATGCTCACAGGCCACTAAACAGTAATGACAATCAGGGAGGAGAGGCAAAAAGGGACAAATACGACAACCTCACTGTGAACAGTGTTTTTTGCAACAGATCATGAAATGTGTGAACTGCCTGTAATCTTCAGCACGCTGCTTAATGCAGCAGAATATGTTGTGATGGATTTTAACAAACCCTGCCCGGCATGGAGTGGCAGAGCTGCAGTGAAGTGGCTAAAGCCTGTAATTAGCTCTTTGGCTAATAAATCATCTCATAATAGCAATGAGAATGACTCAAATGCACATCTAGGAGACATGAATCTGATGGAGAAACCTCTGGAGAAGCAGTGTTAGGAGACCACCATCACACATACTCACAGCTCCTGGCAGCAATGCCAGTGCTTGCCCCAAGGACTGATATTTCTGTAGTGACAGCACCACTGTGACTCACAGAGGGCTCTGGCGAGGCGATTTAGTGCTCTGCACTGCAGATAGGGAAATGGAGGTGTTAAAGGGATTAACCAGAGGTCATGGGGTGGATGGCTCAAACTTATCTTGGACCCATTGCTGGTGCCTGTTAAACTGTTTCTGTGGATTTTTATGGGCTATCACCAATTCTCTCATTTAATAACATTAATGATCAGTGTTGACTTTAACATTTGTCCCTTCAGAAACCATCTTGAATACAGACAAGGATGTGCCACCGTCAGGGTATGGGCAGTTTAACCATGAGTTAATGTATATTTGCTGTGGCTAAGGTGCTCCAGCACTGCCAAATGCTGGGATCCAAAGATGTAGCACTACTGTTGGTTAACACAAGCCAAACTTAAGGAGCAAAAGAGGTAGTTTGCAATCTACCAACTAGTCTTCCCCTGACTTTAGCTGGAATTGGGTATATGGGAAAGTAGACAGGGCTTCAGCACAACGCCAGATCCCATGAGGACAGTGCTGTAGGCACTCACGGTCCTCTTTTGCCCTTCCAAACATGCCACAGGCAGCAGGGCTTGCTCACCGAAGTGTTCTGGCACTGCACGCTGGAGCTGTTGAACCTCAAGGCGGGCACCCGCTGCTCATTGCCCTGGATGTTCAAGATGCATTCGTAGCCTCGCTGGCCAGACTGTGGCTGGGGCAGGTTTTTGGCCTTCAGCGTGATCGGTTTGATCACTTCCACTGGCACCAGGATCTTCTCAGCCTGCAGCAGCTGTGGGCAGTCCTGGGGAGAAAGAACACCACGCAATAAGTCAACACATGATTTTCCCAAACCCGTGTGGAGTCCTTAATCTTCTCACTTTTACAAAGCTGTTGTGCCTCCCTCCATTTCAGCCTATTACAAAGGCTTCGTGGGGCTTTACTGAGAAGGCTCAGATAAGCAGGTGAGGAAGGACCTCCTTTTTTCACTGGAGACCCTTGACCTTCATGACCCAAGAATGCTACTTCTGGTGCTTCTTAATACCTGCTCCATTAATCCGGTAGTAGAAAAGCAGTTCTGTCCCCTCCAGGGACTTTGCCTGGTCAAGATGCCATGGCACAAGAAGTGAAGAATGCAAAATCACAGCATAACTCCCTGCCTCCACCAAAACCAATGTGCCATTGTGCAAAAGGCACAGCTTCAGCTAGCTCAAGCATGACACTGTAAACCAGAGTCTGGGCTATTTAAAAGATAATTTGATTTGGCTTAGAAAGGGACAGAATATTGATTATATATAAAATAATACCTATATTATTTTCCTAAGAAACAATTCTTACTTAATACGTGTGAAGATCTCCAGGAAAGATTTGCAATTGTTTCCAAAAAGGCTCAGTTCTTGGTGGATGTGGCTAACTTAGCTGGGCACCCAAATCTGTGATGGAGAAGGCCGTATTCAAAGTGAGATGAATTTGCACAGCTTTAGTTACAGCAGCAAAATATTGCTTCTTCATGGCACCATTGGACCACTGGAAGCTATCAACCCTCTGGGAAATTACTACAGTGTTTTTCTTGCTAATCCAAGACATTCTTATGTAAAATGGGATTCCTTAAACAATCGCCATCCCAAGAGCAACCCTAGTCAGGTTCAGTTAGTACAAGCAGAGAAAGGGAGAACTTCTACCTAAACAGATACATGCTTAACCTGTAGTTGTGACACTGGACAACAAGAGGATATAAATACTGATCCAGGGCTGAAGAATAAGACAAGGAATTTAAGGGCTTGAAAGTGGAATTTATGGCTTATGAGAGCCTAGGAGTTTGTTAGAGCAGATGGTAGAAACATCTTACTGAAGCACACAGCTTAGGAAGATAAAGAAATGGATTAGACGTGTAACATCTGCACTTAGACCAACCAGAAACAGAATTACAAGAGATATCAATCATCACACTGTGGGTGTGAGCTGATCCATGGCCGGGGGCAGGAAGAAAATCCAGCATCCACCCAGCACGCAGCCGTAATGAAATGTGGAAGCCTTCCTCAGTCCCTAAAGAGTGTCTGTCTTTGCTATTGGGGATTTAAGAGCTCTGGGACAACCTGATTTCTTATCTTTGCTTACTGGTGGATGCAAATGGTGTAAGTACTTGACAACTGCCAATGGATTTCAATTTGCCTTGCCCAGGCTAACATCAGAACATGGACAGCCCAGCATATAGTCATTGGAGCATGATGAAGATGAATCATCTTGGGTCTGGTTGCACAGTGATGAGTTCTAATGATGAGTTCTAGCACAGTGTTTCTCTGTTGTCTTGGAGTTCTGGTGTTGTGCAGCACTTCACTAACTTTGTGCTCCATCACACAAAAGACAGAAGGAGAAGGAGGCTTAGTTAGACACTCAGGAATCCCTGAGGAGCTACACTTTGTTCCAACACTCCCTGCTCTTGCTGTTGTCCTGTGCCATGATGAAATATTCCCAAGGAACTACTAATGCTGAGATACAATAGTTGAAGTTCCACAGAAGTGTTTCTCTTAACAGAAGGACAATGGTTGACAATGTAGAAAGTCCTTCCAGTCTTGGGTTCAATGCTCTTATCCTATCAAGGCATTTATATAGGTTAGCTGCAGGGTTAAGTAGTTATTCAGCTTTAGGAAGTGAGGCATAACCTAACCCTGTGTGATATAGCCCAATAACACCCCAGAGGGCAGGGAAAGACCACCTCAGTGGTCTGGGCTATGTTAAAGTAAGCGTGAGAGTGTCTAGTTGTGATCCCTCCACCTGACACCATATTTAAATACCTTTTGGGACCGTATGTCTTCCACACCTGCATATTTTCCTTTGCACAGACCTGCCTACCCACCGTGTTCCAGGGCCTACAAATTAGCTCCCTTTCTCTCCTTGGGAATAAGAACAGACCTTGGCACCACTTTCTTCATTATTTTCTTCCCCCAGCTAGAGTGGTTGAAAGAGAGATGCATTGGCAGAGTGAATCAGTGGGACAGGAGGATGGGAAAGCCCTATCTGCTGCTGAGCAGCCATGTCCCAAGAGTGGGCATTTTGCCTGATGTCTGTCAAACAGAAAAGCTTTTGAAGGGGACTGGAGGACGGGGGTTGAAGATAGTCAACTATGTTACCTGCAGGCCAATCCCAGCTCTGCAGGCTGGTCTTTCTTGTTTAGCTTTATCCTGTTCCCCCCACCACTGGTGCTGTAACCTTTCCGATAACACTTGTTTCAAGTTCATTAACAAGCAGTGATTGTGGCAGCCCCAAAACAGGATTCGTTTGCATATAAAAAGCTTTGCAGTGCTGTGAGGAAGTTCATTATAGATAATTGAAGAGGCAAGCGCCATAAAGAGGAAATCCTCCCAATGTGGCTTTATCTGATTGACCTAATGTTCTTTCTAATTGAAACGGGGGGAAAAAGGCAATTTCATTAGGTGATGTGCTGCATAAAAGCTAAGAACTTGGACTAGGCTCCGGGTTCAAATTCAAACACAGAGCTCATTTTGTATCCTGTGACAAGCCCTGCCCAGCCAGCTCTGGGTGCCTACTCAGGATTATAAATTTGAGGGTACAACATCAACCTGCTCGGAGATGACCCTGCAGCAGGAAGCAAGCAGAAGGATCCTTACCAATTTTGATCAATTTCTCTTTGTCCTTTCTCTGCAGTGTGCACCACCTAAGCTGGAAGAGCAGTTTTTTACATCATGGATGGGAAGTAAAAGCATCCATTATCAACTACTGTATAAAGGAAAGGCACAATTCCATCCCATTTGTCTTTGGGATATAATAAATTAAGCCTTCCCCTGTAAGGGGAGTTGGTTCAGATTCCAGAGAAGCTAAAATCCAGTTTAATCTGTAGCAGGGCATATGTGAAAGCTGACTCTTGTTGATTAATTTTATGTGTGTAGCTTCATTCTATTCCTTAAATGCTTCCAAATGAGTCAACCCTTAAAAAATAATATCCTCCACCCTTGCCAATTACTCATATCAGCAGTGATGCACTCCTCAAATCATCAAATTTTGCCAGTTATCAAGTCAGAGAGCTTTTGTAGTGAAAACACCACAAGAAATGAGCTGCACTCATCGGGTTGTTGCTAGTTTAATTTTCCTTATTTATAACTCCTCATAGAATGCCAGCAAATGTGTTTTGCTGTAGCAGAAGTAACGAAGTCTCAGTAATATGAGAGTCCCCTGTCTCCTTCTCTCTCATATATGTGTTACAGCCCTCATCACTGCTATACCTGAGTGAGTCCCCAGTGAAGTGCCATCATGAATCATAGAATCACAGAATGGCCTGGGTTGAAAAAAACCACAATGATCATCTAGTTTCAACCTCCCTGCTGTGTGCAGGGTCACCAACCACCAGACCAGGCTGCCCAGAGCCACATCCAGCCTGGCCTTGAATGCATCCAGAGATGCACTCAAGAAGAGTCTGCTGAAGAGAGGGATGAAATCTCTCAGAGTCTGTGTGGCCTTAGCCCTGAGCTAATTGCTTTCCTTCCTTTACAGTGCCCCATACATGTCTAGTTATGATTTCTTGGGAAACTCATCATGTTATTTCACAGTCAAAACTGGAGACAGATCAGAAATACTGAACTGTCATCTTTTCCAAGGTATGAAACATGCAGATCATATGATATTGCATGGGTTTGCTCCTAAAATTATTTAGTACAGTTTTAGTATTGCTGTTTATGACCAGTACCACGAGCCCAGATCTCACCAAAGCATTTTCCATTTTCTGAAGGAAAATGGGTTTGGTTTACTTTCTCACATAAGGGAGAAGATTTTTACTGAGAGAGCGGTGAGATGCTGGAACAGGAGAGGTTGTGGATGCCCTGGAGGTGTTTAAGGCCAGGCTGGATGGGGCTCTGGGCAATCTAATTAAGCACTTGATGTAGGGTGGCAACCCTGTCTGCTGCATGCGGTTTGGAACTTGATGATCCTTGAGATCTCTTCCAACCCAAGGCATTTTATAATTCTCTGAAACGCAGACATCCTACAGGGAAATGAGTAAATCATCCCTGAGGGTTTCACAATGACCCATCCATCTATTAGCAGCCTGTGCCCCTCACTCTCAGTTAATCTGTCTTCTCCTGCGCACTTCTTGCGTTCAAGAAACATTAGATGTTGTACTAAGAGACATGGTTTACTGGGGAAATATTGGTGGTAGGTGGATGGTTGATCTGGATGATGGTGGAGGTCTTTTCCAACTTTGGTGATTCTATGATTGTATGATTCATCCAGAGCATCTACGTGAGGGAAGTTTTCATATTTTTGCTTCATATTGCTCCCTCGTGATAGCTGTGGCATTGAGAGGATCTCCACTTTCTACAGAGGGAAACTGAAGTCCACCTTTTGCTGACTGCTCCATAGACATGTTTGCTGAGAAAGCCAACTCTTCAAAACTATTTTGTTTTTTGTTTTTTTTTTGGCCCAGAAGAGAATTCTCATTATCCAGATCCAGCTATCCAGCATCAACTCCTCCACTTTAAAACTCAATGCATTTAGCTCACTTTTCTTCCTGACATCAATTTCCAGTTCTTCATCCTCAGTGCCATTTTGTTGTTGCTGCTGTTTTGTTTCGTTAATAAAACTTTTCTTTATACATCCTTTGTTCATAACAGCCAACTCTGTGCTTATCTAAGCCATCTTGCCCAAAAGGAACATAAAATCACAGAATCAGTAAGGTTGGAAAGACCACCGAGATCATCAAGTCCAACCATCAACTCATCCCCTCCATGCCCACTAACCACGTCCCTCAATGCCTCAACTACCCTTTTCATGAACGCCTTCAAGCACAGTGAC